TGACATACAAAGAACACAAACACAAAGAACTTAAAAGACTCTCAAAATCCCAAACCCTTATATTGTACCCATAATTTTCTTGTTGTGAATGCTTGCAATTTTAGGTCTAGCCAGTCCTTATTTATAGACTCTTGCAGTATGGGCTTAGACTCTTCAAATCAAATCCAATCTTCACGTTTTAAATCAACTACAAGATCTTCACATAAAAATAGGAACAAATATTTTTAAATTTCCTAAAAAGTCTCCAAGATCCTTTTTATGAAATCCATTTAAATTTGCACTTTGTTCCTAAATAATCTCCTCGACCTGCACATAATGATGAGATATATCCAGAAGGATCTCATCAAATCAAATCTGTCAAGAGATATAAAACAACAATGCCTAGTGTATACATGCCAAGATGTCATGACATATGTCTTCAACATCTATCTAAAACACATAACAGTAAAACTATTATGACAGTTAATGAAGATGTTACAACATCTTGCTCAACATCAGTATAGAACTATGTTTTACCAAAATTTAGTCAATCATAAAACCATGGAACTAACAAAAATAATGATTTATAAAACACATTTGATGAATTCACTAAGGGAAGAGACAACTTGAGTCTCCTTCTTGTAAATAAAAGACCATCACATAATAAAGTTGAACTAGGTTATGAACCTAATACTAATGTTAAGAAATTTAATAAAATATGTCATGCTCATCAAAACCCTTAATGCAAAACTCTTAAATGTTGTTATTGCAATAAAAATGGTTATGTTTATGTATTTTGTTTTATTAAGAAAATTCATGAAAGTGAACATCATCAAATAAATATCATCATCAAAGCCAAATAATAAACATGTATACTTTATATTTTTTTTCAATTATGATCCTCATTAAAAAACCTAGTGGGAATATCTATCAAACTAACATTAATGGACCCAAATGATTTGGCTACCTAAATTTAATATCTAAGTTTTGGTGCATGAGTGCTTTATAGTATTAAACGCTAATTGACACCTTTATAAATATTGTTCAAAGCACATGATCAGAGATAAATATGTTCTCTTCACTCACTCCGAAAAAAAGGAGCTTTTGTCTCCTAGGGTGACAAGAAAAAGGGGAAAAGTAATTGGTATCAATATTGTTGGTAAGTTCCCTAATCCAACAATTGGGGAGGTTCTTTTAGTTGATAGTTTAAAGCATAATATTCTTAGTATTAGTCAATTATGTGACAAAGGTAACGATGTAAACTTTGGGTCTTCTAGATGCAGGGTTATTAAATCAAAATCAAATCAAACCACTTTTACCAGCTCTAGAAGTGGAAACACCTACGGCGTGAATATAAATAAATTTTTGTCAAATGATGTTTGTCTTTTGAATAATAAAGATGAATCAATGTTATGGCATAAGATAATAGCCAATATCTTTATGGACCACTTAAACAAGTTCCTCTGCAAGGATTTAGTGATTGGTTTGCAAAACTTACAGTTTGAGAAAATGTGATTATTTGATGCATTCCAAAAAGGTAAATAAGTAAGGGCCTCTTTTAAAGATAAAATTTTTATTTCTACAAACCGCTTCTTACAATTTTTGCACATATGGATATTTTTGGATTATCTAGAACCAAGTTTTTTTGGAGGAAATCTATATGCCATTGTAGTTGTGGATGACTACTCTCGATATTCTTGGATATTATTATTTTCTTAGAAAAGATATGTGTTTGTTGCCTTTCAAAAAAACTCATCAAGGTTATCCATAACGAAAAAGGATTAAGCATTACATCGATTAGAAGTGATCGTGGTGGAGAATTCCAAAATGACGAATTAGAAATTTTTTGTAGTGTTAATGGAATTCACACTACCTTTTCCGCTCCACGAAGGCCCCAAGAAAATAGGATTATTGGGTAGGAAAAATAGATCTCTATAAGGGCTAGAGACAATGATGCTCAATGATACTAACCCTTTTAAATACTTTTGGACCAACACAGTTAGCACTACTTACTAAGTAATGAATCATGTCTTGATAAAATCAATTATAAAGCTCGCACGATATGTGTTATATAAAGGAAGAAAGCCAAATATTTTTCAAGTACATGTCTTCGGATGCAAATTCTTTGTTCTTAATAATATAAAGGATAATTTTGGGAAATTTGGCGCAAAAGTTGATGAAGGCTTAAACCTAGGATATTCCACTTATAGAAAAGCTTTTAGTTTTTAATAAAAGAACCTTGACGATAGAAGATATAGTTCATGTTACCTTTGATGAATATAATCCATTTTCCGAAGAGGTAGATGTCGTTGAATATGCAGGTATCTTGGAGAAACATCTCTAGAAGATAAAGATAAAAATAATGATCAAGATTAATAAGAAGATCAAAGTCAACCTTAATATATTCAAGCTGAAGAAGAAAACACAAATATTCAAAGTCTTCCCAAATAATATAGGACTACTAATGGTCATCCTATTCATAATGTTATTTGCGATATTTCTAAAGGGGTCACCACTCGACACTTCCTTAGCAAGGTATGTCGCCATATGGGTTTTGTTTCCAAAATTGAATCAAAAGAAGTGGATGAGGACCTCATTGATAAACACGAGTCTCTTGCTATGCAAGAGGCCAGTGATATTAATTTGAAAGAAATAACATTTATAACTTGTTCCCAAAGCTTCAGTTAATCAAGTGATTGGAACATATTATGTCTTTCACATAAATCTTAATGATAATGGAAATTTTCTAGAAAATAAATTGAGACTAGTTGCAAAAGGATACAATTAACACGAAGGTGTCGATTTGGATGAAACTTATGTTTTTGTTGGATAAGATGCTCGATCTCCCTCTTGAGCTAGTGGAAATCATCGATTTGATGATCGTTTACCTTATGTTACTTGCACCAAGTTTCGATATTAGGCCCCATCGTATTTTCCTAAGGGACTGTAAGAGATGGAATATTGCGAGTGTAGAGTCAGGTGTAGTTGCTTCTATGCTGCTGATATGATGAGTCAGATCCATCAAAGGCGGGCTCTTTGACATGTTTAACCTTATACTCATCATTATTATCTTTTAACTCAATATTGAATATTAACAAAAATATTAAGTTACTCATCAAAATATTGAACATTAACGGGAACATGAAGTTACCGATCAAATTATTGAATACTAACGGAAATATGAAATTACTGATCAAAATATTGAATATTAATAGAACAACTTTACTATTGGTTTAAATATTTTTTACAACAATTCCAAAACAAAAATAATATTTATATAAAAAATATATTATTCAGTCAAATATTTTATATATTGGAAGAATTATAGGCAGCGACTTATTATCTTTTTAAAAGAAATTCTTTTTATTTTTATTATATTTTAAGAACAAATGCGTGTATCATACTGATACATGTGTGAACGCACGAGTATCTCACGAATCTACTATAAATCTATAAAAATCAAAGTACTTGGAAAAACAATGAATATTCCTCGGACTCCAAGTTCAATCTTTTCTTATTCCATGAATAAATATGACTTTTCGTAATACTACTATCACCACATACATTTGGCAATTAATATAGCTGATGTGTCATCACATAATATTTTTATACATTTTTTATTTATTTTAATCAATTTATCACATGATTATTCCAATAATTAAGCATTTGAATAGCTTAAACCTAATATGTAAGACTTTATTACACGTTCATGCATATTGTTTGGAACATTTGGAACATGAAGAGACACTTTTCATTTTACAACAAACACAACTTCATATATCCCTTTTATTTCACTATTTTGTTTCACGAATCATACGCTACATTTAAGACATCAGAATTCTTTTATTTTTGAAACCTTGAAAGCTCACAATTTCTATTACAACACACCCTTTCTCAAGTTCACTCAATTGATTTTCGGATAAATGGTTCCATAGATCTCAAACCCTAGAATTCATGACCAATCATTCCTTATCTCTCTCCCTGCTTCCAGTCGCTTCCATTTGCTTCACCATCTTTCCAAAATTTCTTATCTCTTTCTAATACAACAACAAAGCCTCTCCTGATATCGATCCTCATGGTTCTGACAAAGAAAACAATGGAAACAAGTATTCTCTCACTCGACTGTGTATTAACGAACTTTCAGTTTACCTCTTAAAAAACAATCTGGTGATCTCTCTGATGGCGTAAATGAAGATAAAGGTATGTGAATTTGAAACTTCGATCTTCTTCTCTTCCTCTCTTCTTCGTGGTTTCTGAATTTGTCTATTTCACTGAATCTATCAGTCTTCCTGAAATCAATATGAACTGTCAACAATAACTATTGATAGAATGGAATTTACTGAGATTGATAGTTTTATATATTGTTGCAGAAAATGGACATCTTCAAACAAAACAAAGAGCAAGATAAACATAGTTAGACTCTGGTAAGTGTGGTTGCGCTCTTTGTTTATGAGTATATCCTTTATTTTTAATTGAACTAGATTAGGTTTTGTGTAGATTATCGTCGCCGTCAAAGTTGATCCCAATTAAATCAAAGTTAAGATCTTCAACTAATGGAGCTCGATGTTCAGGTTTTCTATTGAACTCTTTTCCCATTTCGATTTCTTCATTTATATGTTTAAATTCCAGAAACCGTCGTTGACTAACCCTACATTTTGATTTCTTCATGTTTATTCTTATGTATAATTATCTATAAATAGAATACAGTGATGAAACTTTCTATGAGGCGACGTGTTATTTCCTGTGACAGATGGTTCTTTGGCATCTTTATTATGTAAGACATGTTTCTCATGCGGCGAACATCCAACAAGTCAAGTTTCAGAAGGTAATTTCAGAGTCGGTATTAACTATAGGTCTTTCATGTTCCCTACACATTGATAAAATAAAGTTAATTTTTTCCAGAAATATTCATTAGCCTTTCTGTAATTTTGATACTCATTTCTGTTTGTTCAAATCTTTTTCTCAAATTCAATATATAATTTTTTTTTCCTTACATATTCCTAGAGCCTGCTCAAAACTCGATGAAGTACTTAACTTGGCATAGGATATCATCACCTCGATCCACTCTATTTCAAACCCTAAACTTCTCATCTTCCACAAAGCTCAAAGTAGGCACATCTTTGGAGTATGTTGGGTTTTTTTGGTCGCATCGTATATATGTATCAGAATATATTGGCCGATTTTCTGCCGATTCAGACACTGTCGTTCTTGATCATCAGGTAGGAAGAGCTTTTGTTGCGGCAAACTGGATTTCATTCTAAATATTTATTGGCTTTTTCTTTGTTGCATCCATAATCTCTCTATATAATAGTGGTTTAACTTGGACTGCGGCTTCAATTCGACGGGATTTGGGAGGAATCAGAACACTACGGATTCAAGTTTCAAATTGATTATGAGAATTTGTTGATTTAGGGTTTTTTATGGAAGGTCTACAAGTTCTAACTTTGAATGTTCCGTGAGTTTTTACGACAAGATTTTTTATTTTCTGATGTTTTGTTGTTTCAATTGTGCTATTGAAATATGTATGTAAGTAAAATTTAAGAACATCAAATTAATTAGTGTAAAATAGCCTACTAACTATTCGATGAAATATCTGTGTTATTGACAGCCTGTTGCAGGTTGATGTATTTTGTGCCAAAAAGCATAGGTTTAGAAATGCACATGGGAAGGAAAATTTAAAGGTTAGTTTACTTGCTTGAACTGCAACTAATATTGACTTTTTTCAGTTGATATGAAGCATTTAATCTTTGAATCATTGCTCCTTAAAAATGGGCAATATGAAGTAATTAATCTTTGAATTATGACAAACACAATTAATCGGTGAAACAACGAATCAATATGCTATAAATTGATTGAGAAATGGTGGATTCAAGTTTCTTCAGTCTCAATTCTGAAAAACATATTTGACTTCTCTTCTAACAATTTTCAGCACATAATTATGAACAGATCATTAAAATTAGAGTTCACTAATCAAAATTGTGTCCAAAATTAATTGATGTACATATATGATCAATCCGAACATAAATTTCAAGTTTACTCAATTTAACCCTACAACTTTATATATATATATATATATATATATATATATATATATATATATATATATATATATATATATATATATATATATATATATATATATATATATATATATATATATATATATATACTCTATCTAGCATACATACATAAAAATATTGCATGATAATTAACTTCAGGACTACTGTTGTATCAGGCTTTATTCTGCATTCAATTTGATATCATGATCTCAGTCAATAACCAACTCTCCTAAAAGCTCATGCAGAAGCCCTTTGTGTTTGAAATAAACAAATCATTTTAAGTAATCTTCAGTGGCAGTTACTAGCAAAATATTCTATTATACTCTGGAAATTTTCCTCTTCAATTACAATACAGATTTGTCTCCTTACTCAAATTCAATCCACAGTCACAAGCCATATCATTATTAATAATACCTGGCCTCAAATACCAGAAGGAGGATTTTGTGTTTTTTTATTATATTTTCTTTTTTCTTCCTGCTACATTCACTTAATAGGCATAAACATCATATGTCAAGGGTGTTAGACGTTGAATATTTAGCATACATTTTCGTCTTAGAAGTCTATATTATGTTTCTTGGTGCATACTATTTTGCTTCTGGAATGACTTTCATTTAAGCATAAAATCATGTTGATATGGAATATGTCAGGGTTGCATATTTTCTGAAGCATTTATGGAGTAACTAATAAAATGGATGTGGTGCATGCTATTTTCAGGTTCTTCAGGATGACATTCGACGGGCTCTATTATTGATGGTTGAATGCTGTATGAGACGAGATTATCTGGCTGCAATGGACCATTATATCAGGTTGGCTATCGGGAATGCTCTCTGGCCTACTGGTGTTAGTATGGTTGGTATTCACGAAAGATCTGTATGTGAAAAGATCTACACAAATGGTGTTGCTCACATAATGAATGATGAAACAACTCACAAGTATTTACAATTAGTAAAGAGATTAATGACATTTGCCAAAAGACTATGATAAATTTCTACCACAATAACGATTAATTATGAGAAAAATAAAGAAAAAAAGACAAGACAAATATTTTCTGCAGAGTTTCTCTCTGTTCACAAACTGTGAAAATTTTATTATTCACTTTGCAATTGCAAAATACTGTGAATGACTTGCTTACAAAAATAGGGGTTACTCTCTCTGTTTATAACTGAGCTTACACCCTAAGCTCAAAGCCTAAAATATCTATTTTGTTGCTAAATCAAATCTAATTTATTCTAGACTTAAATCAAATCTATTTAAATCTAAAACTAATCAAATCTTTTCAACACATAGTTTCGACACACTGAATTACAATTTAACACACCAACTAATTCATTGTGTATAAACTATCTATGTTCATCATGACTCTTAGTCTTCTGAATACTTCGACTTGCACTCCCTTCGTCATGATATCTGTAATCTGATTCTCAATTCTACAGTGTTCCAAATTCATCTTCACATCTGCTACCTGCTTTCGAAGATAATGGAACCTCATTTCGATGCGCTTACTTCGACCATGTGCTATTGGGTTCTTCGCCAGATTGATAGTTGACATGTTGTCGATCTTTATGGTAATTGCTCCATGATCTTTCCCTGTTATCTCTTCGACCAAGTTTACCATCCAAGTTGCTTGACATGCACAAAGAGAAGCAACTATGTATTCTTCTTTGCATGATGATAATGCCACTACTGGTTCCTTTATTGAATTCCAAGCAACTGGTGCACCACCTAACATAAACACATATCCTACTGTTGACTTTCGATCTTCAACATCACTACACCAACTCGAATTAGTGTATCCCACTAACTTGTATTCTTTTCCTTTATCAGCTTCAGGAAACAAAATGCCATAATCGAAAGTTCCTTTGAGATACCTTAGTATCCTCTTCACTGCTGCTAGATGTGATACTTTTGGCTTCTGCATGAATCTACTTACCATACCTACACTATATGCTAAGTCAGGCCTTGTATGACAAATGTATCTCAATGATCCAATAAGTCTTCTGTATTGGGTTGGATCAACATCATCTTCATCTACATTCTTTCGACAGTTGCAGTCTTGGTTCTGCAGGTGTCGAAGTTGAGTTGTATTCTTCCATCTCAAACCTCTTGAGAATTTCTCCTGCATATCTTCTTTGATACATCATCAAACCTCTACTGCTCTTGTAGAATTCGATACCAACGAAATATGAAATCTCACCCAAATCAGACATTTCGAATTTCTTGCTGAGATCACCTTTTAAGTCTTCGATCTCACTTTTACAGCTACCTGTTATCAACAAATCATCTACATAGAGACATAGTATAAGCAATTTACTCTTGCTTCTTCTTACATATACTCCATGTTCAGTTGTGCACTTTACAAATTCCTTCTCCCTTAGGAAACTATCAACTTTCTTATTCCAAGTCCTTGGAGCTTGTTTCAATTAATACAAGACTTTATGCAGCCTGTACACCTTTCTTTCTTCGTCATGTTTCACAAACCCAACTGGTTGTTTAACATAAACTTCTTTTAAGGGTCCATTCTGGAATACACACTTTACGTCCATCTGACATATGTGCCAACTGTTTATTTCTGTTAGACCAACAACCAACCTGATTGTTTCGATCCTAGCAACAGATGTAAAAACTTCATCGAAGTCTATTCCTTCTTTCTATAGAAATCTTTTCGCCACAAGCCTTGCTTTGTGTCGAGTTACTTCCCCTTTCGAATTCGTTTTCACTTTGTATATCCACTTGACATCAATTTCCTTCTTGCCTTGAGGAAATTCGACAAGTGACCAAGTGTTATTGTCTTTGATAGACTTCACTTCTTCGTTCATTGCTTTCACCCACTTTGAATCCTTTAATGCTTCAGTTGTATTGACAGGTTCGACATCTGCATAGAAAGCATAATGTACCAGCTCACCTTCATTATCTATTACATCATCTGATGTAATCACACAATCTTTCAATCTTGCAGGCATGCGTCTTATTCTTTGAGGTCTGCTTGTACTTGGTATATCTACTGGTTCCTCTTGTCGAACTTCTCTTTCGACTTGAGTTTCTGGCTCTTCAAGTAGGATTCCCACTGAATCTTTCTTGACATTTTCAGTCCAATCCCATTCTTTAAACTCATCTATGATCACGTCCCTGCTGATCACAATCTGTTTTTTCACTGGATCGAACAACTTGTAGCCTCCTGTCGAATGATATCCAACTAGAATCATTTGACTTGACTTATCATCAAGTTTTCTTCTCAACTGATCTGGCACATGTCTATGTGCAATAGATCCAAATACCTTCAGATGACTCAAGTTAGGCTTCGCACCAGAACAACATTCTTCTGAAGTAATTCCTTCTAGCTTCTTTATAGGACATCTGTTCAAAATGTATGTTGCGGTCGAAACAACTTCACCCCAAAACTCTTTAGGTAAATTCTTGCCTTTCAACATACTTCTCACCATATTCATGATGGTTCGATTCTTCCTTTCTGCAATTCCATTTTGTTGTGGAGCATAGGGTGACACCACCTCATGCACAATCCCTTCCTTTTCACATAGTCTGTCGAAGTCTTTCGACACATATTCTCCACCACCATCAGTTCTCAAAATTTTGAGCTTTCGACCGCTTTGTCTTTCGACCATAGACTTAAACTTGACAAATACTTCGATCACTTCACTTTTCTTCTTGATCAGGTAAGTCCATAGCTTTCGACTGAAATCATCTATAAATGTAACAAAGTATTTGTTACCTCTCATCGAATCCACCTGGATTAGTCCACATACACCAGAGTATATGACTTCAAGAATAACCTTCGATCTACTTCCTGCATCCTTGCTGAAGCTATTTTTGTGTTGCTTCGTATGCACACATTCCTCACATACTTCATTTGGAATGTCGATTTCAGGCAATCCTGAAACCATATTTTTCTCTTCAAATATCTGATGTCTCTGAAGTTGAGATGGCCTAGTCTATAATGCCATATCCATTCATCTCTTCTAGCTGCAGTCGAAAGACACTTGTGCTCCATCACATTTAGTTCAATCTTGAAGGTTCGATTCTGAGACATAGGAGCCTTCAAGATTAATCTCCCATTTGCATCAATGACTCTCATCATCTTATCTTCGATTGACACTTTATAATTCTTTTCGACCAACTGCCATATACTGAGCAAATTACTCTTCATTCCTGGTATGTATAATACATTGGAAATTACTGACCTCTTGTCATCTTTCCTCATAATCATAACATCACCAATACCTTCAGCTGCTAGGGTATTGTCATTTGCAAATTTTACCATATTTTTCATTGAGGGCTTTATATTGACAAACCAGTCTTTTCTTCCAGACATATGTGATGAACATCCTGAATCCAAGTACCATTGGTCCTTGAATATATCTTCATCTCTTGTTGTGACCATCAACATCATCTCTTCTTCTTCTTCTTCTTCTTCTTCTTCTTCTTCTTCTTCATGTTTTGCAAACTTTGTATCACTTTCTTGATTCTTTCGTTTTTCTGGATAATCACTCGAATAGTGACCATATTTCTGATAATTGTAACATTGAATGTGACTCTTATCAGGTTTTCGACCACCACCTCTTCCTCTATTTGCAACACCATCTCTTTGGTTGCCTTGGTATGGTTTTCTTTGATTCGACATGTTTTCTTCGTTCTGGTTTCTTCCACCAGTCGATTTGTTGTAGCCGCCTCTACCTCTGTCGAACCATTTTCCTTTGCATTTGGTTTCTTTTGATGAATTTGTCTGGAAAGCCACATCACTCTTCGACTTTCCTGTAGCTCTTTCATTCATTCTTCTTCATGGGATTCAAGTGTCCCTTGAAGCTCTTCCTTTGTCGATTTCGACAAGTCTTTCCCCTCTTCTATAACTACCACTATGTGGTCGAACTTAGGGGCCAAAGATCTCAAGATCTTTGAAACAACAACTCTTGTTGTTAGCGTTTCTCCACATATCCTGATTTAATTTACTAGTTTTGTAACTTTAGTGAAGAAATCAGATATGCTTCCACTGTCTTCCATCTGAAGAAGTTCATACGTCCTTTTGTGAGTTTGTAACCTCACTTCTTTCACCTTCTCAGCGCCTCCAAAAGACTTTTCAAGTATTTCCCAAGCTTCTTTTGCAGATTCTGAATCACTAACCTTTTCGAAATTATCTGGGCTAACACATTGATGAATTATAAATAATGCTTTATAACTCAGCTTCTCAGATTCTGTGTATTTCTTCTTTTCTTCTTCTGAAGTGTTTTCTCCAAGCGCTTCAACTCCATCTTTTACAAGATCCCAAAGACCTTGACACCTGAATAAGACTTTCATCTGTTTGCACAAATTCTCATAGTTGTCTACTTTCAGAATTGGTAGAGTTGCTGGATAATTTACATTCTCATAATTCGCAATCATGAATTCTTCAATCGTTCTTGATTGATACTTCCCTTGAATCGAAACAAAGCTCTTGATACCAGATGTTGGAAATTCACCAAAGTCTATGATGTATTTCTACCACAATGACAATTTAATTATGAGACAAACAAAGAATGAAGACAAGACAAATAATTTCTGCAGAGTTTCTCTCTACTCACAAACTGTGAAAACTTTATTTTCACTTTGCAACTGCAAAGTACTGTGAATGACTTGCTTGACTTGTTTACAAAAATATGGGTTACTCCCTCTATTTATAACTGAGTTTACACCTTAAGCCCAAAATCCAAAATATCTATTTTGTTACTAAATTAAATCTAATATATTCTAAACTTAAATTAAATCTATTTAAATCTAAAACAAATTAAACTTTTTCGATACACTGAATTATAATTTAACAGTATCCACGAAAGATCTGTCCGTGAAAAAATCTACACAAATGGTGTTGCTCACATAATGAATGATGAAACAACTCACAAGTACTTACAATCAGTAAAGAGATTAATGACATTTTGTCAAAGGCGTTACCCGACATAGCCATCTAAAGCAGTTGAGTTTAACAAATTTGGCAA